CATTATACGTAACCCGAGAATTTGATTTTAATATTTGCTTTATCCAGAAAACTAATTTCCGATAGGAATGTTTTGCCCGAACATTCACATCAAAATTCATATTTAGGCAATATACTTATTATAAAACCCAGGTTGTGTTTGTGTGTGTGTATATCTGTACGTTTATATATTGGATCGGATTTCCTACATTTTTCAACCGATTTCAACAAAACTTCACAGTACTACGTAAAATTACCTTGCGGTGGTTCTGACAGCGCCAAAAATTGGAAAAACACAATTGTTTTTGCACAAAATCAATTTGAAAACACGATTAAGAGGTCGCTGTCAGGAGAATGAAAGGGGGACAACTCATATCGAGTTATACTTATTATAAAACCCAGGTTGTTTGTGTGTGTGTGTCTGTGTTTGTTTATATATGGGATCGGATTTCCTACATTTTTCAACCGATTTCAACAAAACTTCATTTTTTTGGCAAGTCATGTTTCTTGTTGTCTTGCACACTTTTTTCTTTATTTTTACATTCAGAATGCTTTAAAAATTCTATTTACAAGACAATTGTTTATAATAAAATTCTATTCAATCTGTAGACTCAACGATTGAAAACAATGTTTTTGTTTGAGTTTGGGTTTGACCAATTCGTAAAAAAACAAAAGAAAAAAAACAAAACAAAACAAAACAAAAAACTAATTAAGACATGCGTGTCCGTCTCGTAAAAAAAGAAAAAGAAAACTAATTAAGACATGCGTGTCCGTCAACCTTAAACAATAATCTTTGCCAATTTTATTTTTCAGTCTTTATGATGGTCGATACTTGATCTATCTCTTACTGTTACATTCCCGGGTAACGCCGGGCTCTACTGCTAGTAATACAATATTTCCAGATTGCAGGATTTACAGGTTTTCATTTTCGGATATTGTTGTATCCTTAAAAGAAGTTACAAACAGACAAAGTTGGTACTCGAGTTGAAGAAACAGCAACACGGGCGTAGATGGAAGAAAGAGAGGTTTATTGTAAAAGAGCATACACTACTGAAAGACAAAGAGCCGACTAACTCTTCCCGAAGCCAGTCAGACTGTTATATTTAACGCCACCCCGTGTGGGTCGTATGTGGCACAAGACCGAGTTTATCGTGGGTTCTCCGAGCCCGTAGGCTCGGTCAAGAATATACCTTTCGAACCTGTATAAACGGGTTCAGGGCCTGTCTACCTCCCCGGACGAAACTTTGCCCTTCGGCAAAGCCTCGTCCGGGTTCCTCTCTGCTCAAGGAAGAGAGTTTGGCAGTAATGAACAGTTTATATCACTGTTTAAGACTGTCAGACAGTATATTTCACAGTCCCTCCATGGGGCATGTATGTGGCACAAGGCCGAGTTTAACGTGGTCAGTTCATATATAACCAACTATCCCTCAATCATAACAGGGTAATGACAATATTACCTGTTTCCTTATATGGAAATAAATGGCATTTATAATAATAATGCTAATTTTGTTTGAATTTTATAAGATAGTTATCTTAAAACAGATTTTTAAGGAAATAGGACGTCCACGATTATCGTTCTTCCTAGTATTATTGATGAAGGTTTCCTTCCTAAAAGTTTGTTTTAAGTTGTGTGGAAGATCGACGTCTGGATTATGTCATTATTTTCTCTTCGAGTTACAGGCGCTATGCATTCGTCGATTAATTATTTATTTTCATTCTGTTTATTTATTTATAGGGGTATTTTGAGTGTATTGTCAGTGGTAGGACCTTTGCAACGAAACGGTCGACCCTTATTTACTCAGGCAATTGGGTAACAGAACAGTACTGGTCCACGGCCTGCATCCGACGCATGGCTCCAAGATGTCGCATGGGCACTGCAATGATCACACCCTAGACAACGGCATAGACCTGCCGCTGGCTAAACTTTGTGCTGGTAGTCGGAATGGTTTTCCAGCACGACCGGTCTATGCTAAGCGGCTATTAGTCACTCGCCAACCTGGGTGTAGGCGCTGCGCCTCAGAGATCAACGGCTTCAGCAGAAAAGACGAATTGAATAAAATAGACAATAGGCAAAGACTAAGTAGTGTTTTCCTATTGTCCATATATATATATATATATATATATATATATATATATATATATATTACAAATTAATTGATTTAAAATATTTTTCGCTACACAATTCTAACCATGTTTCAAAAATGAAATTCCGTGGTTATACTTTATTACATTGGAATCGTAATCACGATCCAATTCATCAAAGCTCCAAACTCAAATATACGAATAAAAAACAAGGAGAAAAACTATTATTATACTGAGGGACTTTATCAAAGCAAATGTAGGATTTATTTTATTGCACGTGTTTATATGCAAGAGCAAAGATCTCATTCGTTATGAAGGCTTTTAAATTTGAGAACGTTCATGAATATTCCATGGGGAGGGGGTTGAAAGGTCAGTCGAAATATATGGAGGACACAAAGTGTCATGATTCAAAGTTTGGTAAGACAAAAGTAAGCGAGTAATATTTAAGAAAAATATTCTTAAGTATTACTCGCTTACTTTTGTCTTACTAGCCTTTGTATTATGCAACTTTGTGTACACCCCATTTTCACTGATCTTTCAATCACCTGAGGAATATCCATGTATGTAAAGAAACGAATGGATTTTTCTATATTAATTAGACAGATTTTTTATTACTTAAACGTCATTTCAAATGGATACTCTTATTTAAGTAGACGCATCGTTCATTTATTAAACAATATATATATATATATATATATACGTAATCATTTATATATATGTAATCATTTATATATATATATGTAATCATTTATATATATGTAATATATATATATATGTATATATATATGTAATCATTTATATATATATATAAATATATATATATATACGTAATCATTTATATATATGTAATTATTTATATATATATATATAATCATTTATTCGCAAATTATTATTCTTATTCTTCTTCTTATTATTATACATATATATATATATATAATCATTCATTCGAAAATTATAACATAAAATGTTATATATATATATATATATATATATATATACATATATATATATATATATATATAAATCGAAGTGTAGTTGAAATGCACTGAAACCAAGTTGCATCTTTGTAGTGAGTAAAATGGTTTTGTCTATATGATAAAATTATAATAAATAAATAATTATCGCTCTACCATCGGTATCGAGTTCTCTTTTGGATTAATGCTGTGAACGTTGGAATTTATATATTACTTTCGTTCTCATCGCATCGGATATATGTTTTGTTGTGTCCAGTTCATAGTTAGTATTTGCTAAATTACAACTAGATCAAATTAAGACCATTCATCTGTCCGAGGCTAGCGGCGTTTGTTGATGTTTTCATTGTATTTATTTAAAACCATTCATCTCCTTTTGTCTCTGAGATTAAGCTTTCTTTCCTCCTCTTAACTAAACCTGATGACACCCTGACTGATTTTGTTTTACTTCCCTTTACTAAACTGGACCGCATCTTTTGTGTAAACAAACGAAATCTTTTGTTTTTCTAGAAGAGAAATCGAAGTATTGTCAAATAACGGGAAACTGACCACGTCGCTGAAAATCGGTTTTAGCTAAGCCGGTTTGACTTTTAATCTATAAAAATAGACGAAACGTGAAATGTCGAAAAAAATAAATAAAAAATTTTGGCGGTAAAAAAAAAAAGCTATATTTGCGTGATTAATTCATAGTGAGTACAACAAAAATTCTCGTGAACGTAGCTTAATTTATCGCAAACGGGATTTCGGGAGAAGAAATTTTTAAAAAATCCGGATTAAATTGTATTTTTTCTTGCCGACTCTCGGACTGTTTTAGCTTTCAAATCACTTTGTTAACAAAGAAAAACCATTACAAATGACACGCCGAAGTCCGCAATAATTTCGGATACAAATTTTAAGTAGATACCTCCACCTTCTCGCTGATAAAAAAGCATAGCATGATGAAAAAAGCCCCAAACTTAATAAAAACTAAGTTTTATCGTTAAAATCTCTTTTTACTATTATTAAACTGAATGACCAAAATATTTTTTAATTATTTTATTACCATTTTTAATTCGTTCTAGCATGTTCAAAATTTTTGGTTAAAAATCTTGTTTTTTTTTTTTGCGTTAGCGGTCGATATAATATTTAGCATTTTAGCGCCTTTTTTCCCGGTGAAAAACACATTGATATGAAAATTCTTGCAAAAATCAAATAATTGTCGGATTTTAATGAAACTTGCAAGACTTATTTACAAATTTTTGAATATTTTTATTCTAGAAAATGTTGATAGAAATATTTTTTCTTTTACAATTCACCCGCTACTATGTTTTCTTCTGTGCTAGAAAACATAGTCTGTGTAAAATTTTTATTTTCTATTTTCGATGAAATGGGAAAACATATTTTGAAGAAATTCTTAGGTCTGCTGCTAGGCGAGTTTGTTTACCGTGTCGCGCTAGACAATATTTCTCGCTAGAATCTTTATGCCTAACTTTCATCTGTGTATAGGATAATGCAGCCACATCTGGTCTTTCTGCTATGTATCCAGAGATTCCTGATAGAATCAAAAGAAGAATCTCCAATGTCATCGGTCCTGGCATTTCAGCTTCAGTCGCTACCTTCACCATCGTACTGTAGCTTCCCTGTGTCTTTTCTATAAATATTTCAATGGTAATTGTTCCGATAATTTTTCCTCTTTGGTATCTAGACTCTATGGTTGTAAGTACTAGATTATGTGGCTCAACGGTTGTTGTAATGCGTCTAGTGTGGTAATCGTAATCTGTAGCGGTAGTGATTTTCCAAGCGTAGCTTGGATGTGACACAAGGCCGAAAGTAAGAGGCACCCAGTGAGGATCGAACTCACTACTCAGTCGTAATTGTTCTAGCGAGACAAGCTTGCTAACCATTAGACCACCTCGAGGTGCCCACGGCTGTTGTAATGCGTCTAGTGTGGTAGTCTGTAGCAGTAGTGCTTGTCGCTTCTCGCTTTCAG